CAAGGTAGCTATGACGTTTGATTGCTGCTTCCATGCCAATTTCTTGCAATATTGGAGAAATAGTTTGCCACAACCTTCTTCTGGGAATTATTTTTTTTCCTTTTTCTTTGAGTTTCCAGTGTAGCTCACCATTCTGAAAATCTAGGAACTAGAGATCAGGCAACATCATTCAAATGCTATCACTCACATTAAGTATACACAGACTTCAAGCCAAAGACAAAACTTAGGTCCAGTTTGTAGAAATGAATTTCACTATTTTATTTGGAACCTCTTAAATTAATCAGTTTTGCTTCTGCAGGACTTAAATGCACTCCTATAGCAAATTAGGGTTTATGGAATAGCTGATATTTCTTAACTGATATCCAATAAATATGAATTATATTCAGAGCTTTAAAAATGTCAATATTTCTAGAATACATCAGATATCTAAATGATTTGGAGTCTTGAATTCATCACTCCTGAGATAACAAAGAACTGAAGGAGAAAAACTAAATTAATGTATGATTTCCAACATCAGTAGAAAAAATACTATCAGATCCTTCTAACAAATGTTATTAAAAGAAAAATGCTTTTTTGAGCTGTGTCTCACTTCAGCAAATGCATGGAGTGGCTAAACTGAAGTAGAATTTAAATTGGGATGAGGTGGAGAGCTTTCCCTTTAGGGATTGGGTAGCAAGCCCATACTTAAATACAGACAACCCAGCCTGAAGCAGATTTTTAAAAGAAAGAAGAACCAACCACACAACAATGCCAACATGGGAACCAGATCCTGCCACAAACCCAGATGCTCATTTTCTCCTCAGATCTCCTCAAATAGCATCACAGGCTCAACAAGAATCAATGGATACAATTTTAACATCAAGATTCAAGACAAATTTGAGATAATATTAGAATTTTCAACATTCATGGATGTTCTGTTGAAGATCATTTTGAAAAAATGAAGTTTTAACTGCACAATTCAGTAATAATAAATGACTTTAGAATCCTTACAAGCTTTTATCCTCAGCCTAGGTTATCTGGCTGAATAGTATAATCTATTAGTAAAATGAATTCCAAGCACATATTTCTAGATACGTAATTCAGCCTTCTTGTACCAAACATATGTACCTTTTGCTAAATTCAGAAATTTGGTTTGGTTGTTGTCTTGTTTTCCTTTTGTCTACATAACTTTATAAATACAAGGTGACTATTTAGAGAAAGTGAGTTAAAATTCAGGCAGAGAGATGGCAGTGGAAATAGCTTTTGTTGATTTATTGTGTTTTGTAGGAAGTCATTCTATCCTCCATTGCCTTTCTTTTGCCTTGCTCTTCTTTCCTAATATCTATGGATAAAACAGACATTCCAAGCTTATTTTCACTCTACAATGTGGAAGAAGAATGGCTTAGGATGTCTTTTGATGCAAGTAGATAGAAAAGCATTCATGTGTTCCCCTGTTTATGACTTGACTTTTGCTTCTTTCTATCCAAGATTTTTGTTCCATAGTAAATTAAAATTGCGGTGCGTCAGAAAAGTATCTTTTTTAAAGCCTTGTCTTGTGAATTGAAATGCATACTCTAGTAACTAGCTACTTTGCAATAAACACCCATTCATTCATTATCAGTAACATGGAATGGAAATATTGAAAGTAAATAAAAATCAGATCCCTGCATGACTTTTAAATATCTAATTCTAATTTAAATTAAAGAAGAAATTATTTAGGCTTTTAAATAAAATTTCCAACATAAAATCCTTTTTCTTTTGTGAACATCCTTCCCATACCCACCAGTGCTGTCACCATATTTCTTTTTCTCTCCAATATTTCTATGCCACCATAGAATATACTACTTTAACGATTTAATGTGTGTGTGTTTGTGTGTGTGTGTGTGTATATACACACTATGGTATAGGCCAGGAGGATAGTTAACAGTTGGGCCAGTAAAATTTGGGCCTGTTGGCAACCTTTGAATTAAATATGTTTCCTTTCCAAGCTTCCTTTATAGATGAATAATTCGCCCTTTCACTGTCCTTGCTGTTTTGTCCCGTACAGGAAAGGAGGGACACCAAATGTCCACACAATGGCATTTCCTACTGACTGCCCTCAAAACTGAGTTGAAAAATGTATTAAAAATTCAAGTATGTTTCATGATATCAGTAAAAGTGGTATGCCTCCATGGTAGAAAAATTCGGCAGAATTCCCATTTTAAAGCAAAATGTAATACAGAACTTTTGCTTTTGGTAAGATTTTGGTAAAGTTTTTGACAGAAATGCTTTCAACACTGGACATGTGATAAAATGATAATCGTTTGCATTCTATTAAAGCAGAAGGAGGTGCATTTGACAAAGGAAGAAAATTAAAAAATAAAATTGGAAAGGAAGGGAGAAGTGGATAGCTGATATACCTAAAAGGAAAGATAAATAATTTTGGAAGTTCTGGTTACACATTAATTTAATGCTAAATTAAACAAAATTGTAATTCTGATAGTATTTTATTTAATTTAGCAACATACAAAAACACAGCTGAGATATTGTTCTGCCAGATTTACTATTCATCTCCAGAACAAATTTAAAAGAAATTATACCAAATTAACCAAATTTTTCACCATGGTGAAACAGGACTTTGTTGTTTTTTGCCTGTCCCTTTACTCATTTTTTTTCAATGCCATATTTAATGACAATGCATTTAAGTACAATCACCATCTTTCTTGTGAGGATCCAATAATTTTTAAACAAATCTGGTTGAGATTTTTTTTTTAAAAAAATAGCAATCCAGATGTTACATAAATATTATAGGTATATTGTCTTTGGAATTATTGAATCAGTTTATAACTGTTGTGGAGCTGAATAGTGAGTAAGTAACTATTTCAATCATATCTGCATACAGTGAAGATTGGAACCATTCATTTAGCAGCCATTCAAAGACACTGGAAAAGTGACATACTTGCTCGTTGCAGCATCCCTGCAATCAAGTAATCAAAATTCAGGTGCTTGGCAATCAGCATGTACAAATAGTCCTCAATTTATACCAGTTCATTTAGTGACTGTTCAAAATTACAACAGCATGAAAAAAAGCAACTTTTTACATTTATGACCATTGCAGCAGCTCTATCGTCATGTGATCAGAATTCAGAAGCTTGGCAACTGACTCATATTTATGACAGTTGCAGTGTCTCAGGCTCATGGGAATCCTCCTTTGTGACTTTCTAGCAAGCAAAGTCAATGGGGAAACCAGATTCACTCAACAGCCATGTTCCTAACTTAACAGCAACGGTCAGTCACTTAATAACTGTGGCTAAAAAGCTCATAAAATGGGGCAAAATTCACTTAACAACTGTCTCACTTAGCAACAGAAATTTGGGGTTCAATTGTGGCCATAAGTCGAGGACTACCAGAACTTATGATGGTTTCAGCTTCCTGGGGTCATATGACTGCCTTTGTGACCTTCTTAGCTGGCTTCTGACAAGCAAAGTCAATGGGAGAAGTTTAATTCTTTAATAACTGCGTGATTCAGTTAACAATTGCAGTAATACACCCAACAACTGTTGCAAAAAAGGTCGTAAATTAGGGCATGACTCACTTAATAACCACCTTTCCTAGCAGAAGAAATTCCGGTCCTTATTGTAGTCATAAGTTGAAGACCACTTATAACAATTGGGCCTAAAATTTCCATTGCTAAGCAAGACACTTGTTAAATAAGTTGCATCTCATTTTCTGACCTTTTTGTCACAGTTGCTAAGCGAATCACTACAGGCGTTTAGTAAATCACCCAATCGTTAAATGAATCTGGTTTCCTCCATTGACTTTTTTTTTGTTGGAAGTGGCTGGGAAGCTTACAAATAGTGATCACATGATCCCAGGATGATGGAACTGTCACAAAGATATGCCAGCTGCCAAGTGCCCAAATTTTGATCATTGACCATTGTGATAATGCAATGGTGAAAATTAGTCACGAGTCACCATTTTTCAGTGCTGTGGTAACTTTGAATGGTCACTAAACAAACGATTGAAAGCTGGGGCTTTACTGGTTGCACTGGGTTTTGTGTTTCTTTGTCCAATGGAGCTATCAAACAATATTTGTCATATCTTGCCTTGTGACTGATGAAGAACAAGGTGTGTAATGTTTGAGAACAAACAGGACTGAGCTTCCATCAGCCATCAAATCCCATAGAGTTGAAATAGGCTGATGAAGTCTAGAGGTAAAGAAACATTAACAGGTTGTTGTGATGCAAAAACAACGTTGCTTTAAATAAAACAGGAGAAAATATTGCTCCTAACTCAAAATATGTTCTTTTTTATCATGAACCAAATTTAAAAAGAATCACTTCGGTCTAATAGTTAAGGAACCAAGAAAGCGGGAGACCGTGAGTTCAAGTCCCACCTTAGTCATAAAAACCATTTGGGTGCCTTTTGCTAGTCATCCTCTCTCAGCACAACCCACCTCAGAGGGTTGTTGTCATGGAGGGGGAAGATTTGTTGGATATGTTTGGGTCAAACCAATAAAGCTTGGATACAAATAAATAATCTGGAATATTACTTTTCTGTAGTGACTTGGACTCATAGTATACTGGTGGAAAAACTAAATTCCCAGTAGAAAACTAAAGGTTTGATAATGGCATTTTGTAATGTTAAATATCAAAATCTTGGGTTTTTTTCTGAGATTTTTAGAGATTGAATTGTGATGCATTATATATTTAAGCATTACTATTAATAGAGATGCAACTTTAAGGATGTATCTGTGCACACGTTCATGAATAGCCTGAATTTTTAGATGCCCAATCCTGTTTCTACATAAATAAAGGCATACACAATGTACATAATTCTGCCTGAACTTAACATAAAAAATTACTGATGTAATTCTTCAAATACTGCTTACTTACAGTCAGTAAATTCTTTGATTATGAGGAAAAAATATAATGAAATGAGCTTCTCATTAAAGTACAAAGCTCATGTTAGTTATATGATATTAATTGTCTGCTTTTTAACCATTTCTAATTTTTCTGTCACCTTTGTCTTGCACCATTTAGGTTTGAAAAAGGACGGATCTACACATTTATTGGGGAAGTAGTTGTTTCTGTAAATCCTTACAAGAATTTGAATATCTATGGCCGTGATACAGTTGAGCAGTATAAAGGGCGTGAGTTGTATGAGAGGCCACCTCATCTCTTTGCCATCGCAGATGCAGCATATAAAGCCATGAAGAGGCGATCAAAGGACACATGCATTGTAATATCAGGTGGGTCAGAGGTACTTGCTACCTCCTGTCATAGTGATATTTTAAACAAAGCTGGAAGATTAAAGCTAGGTTCTTATATTGTATTGCATTACAAACTGTCTATGTGGTGATTTTGTGTAAAATGTGAGTCCAGCCTGGCTATAATTGAATAAGTTCTATGACTGAGTGAGGGAGTGAGTGGTATTCATTCATTCATTCATTCATTCATCCATTCATTCATGTTAATGGATACCCATCTAGTAGATGTAATCCTGGGCAGCTAACAACACATTAAAACAATAAACATTTATTACTGAAATAAAAAGACAAGGGTGGTCACAGAAGATGAACTCAATAAGACAATACAAAAAGTGGGACTTACCTACCTCCTTGTCCTGGAGCACATCAAGTGCTTAATGGAAGGCCAGCAGAGGTAAGGCCAATCTGATCTTGAGGGAGGATGGTGTTCCAAGCTGCTGCAGCAAAACAAACAAACAAACAGGTTTTCAAGGTCCCGTAAGATGACATTCTTTAATTGAAGAATGGAGCATGGCCCTCCTGCCAGACCTTGTGGGATGGATAAAAACAACCAGTGATAAATGATCCCACAAAAAATGCAGCCCTGTGATATGGAAGGCTTTAAGGGTGTAATAACTAGTACCTTGAATTCTATCTGGAAACACACTGGGAGTCAGTTCAGCTCCCTTAGCAGAAATGTAACATGGATGTACAGTATTGAAGTGTACCCAGAACTTCCAGTGTTTCCAAATTCTGGATCAGCTGCTGCTTCCAGATGTTCCTTAACAGCCACTCCATGTAATTGTATTGCACTCAATACACTTGAGAGGTGACTAAGGCCTGTGCGTTGAATAGTGTCTCTTGATCCAGGAAGGGGTGCAACTGAGATTAAAAAAAAAAAGTTGTAGAGAAGCCTTCTTCATTATAGCTGCCATTATAGCTCTTCAAGAAGAAGTTGTGAGCCCAGGAGGACCCCAAATTGCACGTTGGATCCATTTGGATCCAAAGATGGAAAAACCTTAGATCCAGTCAACCCTAAAATCTACAGCCACTCAGTTTACCAAGGTTAAGCTGAGATCTGTTCTTTCCCATCCAGAGGCTTACAACCTCTAGACACTGAGAAATATTATATATCAAATATGATTTGTAGGTTTTTGTAAATATGACCTATAAAATATTTGCCAGATGCTATCCTGTTCTACTTTATTTATTTTAAAAGTCTAGCACTTCTTTGTCCAATACTATGTACTTTTTTGGCCAACTTTTATAAAGAGTTCAAAGTTTTGCCTAGTTTTCCTCTTGAACTAGAAATTGAGCATGAAGACATAGAGCTTAATATTAATTTCTTGAATGATAAAGAAGCTCAAGAAGCTCAAAGCACGCTTGTTCTCTTTAGCTAGCGAATTAGATGACATTGTGTTTTGATTCCTGTCCTTCATTTGTGCCCTCAGGGGAAAGCGGAGCAGGTAAAACAGAAGCAAGTAAATATATTATGCAGTACATAGCTGCCATTACCAATCAGAGTCAGAGAGCCGAAGTTGAAAGGTAAGGCATTTGCTTTGGAGGAAAAAATGCCTGAATAAATTGAACGCAAAATATAATTGCTCCTTAGGAAAAAAAGTACAAATGAAGGTGCCACAATAGGGTGCAAACTTTTAGTTTCTCAAGAGCTCTGGTAAAAAAAAAAAGACAAAAAGAAGAAGAACACAGAACACATTGTATCAAATGTTCAAGGTACATTATGGGTCTCTAACATCAAATAGTGGCCTAAACCCTTTAACAGCAACTTTCTGTTGTATAAGAGGTGACTAAGACAATGCCAACATCCCAAAAAGTAATTGCCCTTGTCTGGCTTATTATTTTCTGAAAATTTTAATTTAAAGGTTTAAAGTAGATTGAATTTCAGGCCATCTGGATACAACTGCTTTCACTTTTTTCTTGCTGTTTCTGCTGTTAGTCAGGACCCTAATCTCAACAATATAATCTATATATTTTGACAGGATAATCTATTCTCTGAAACCTCTAAGGCCTTGAACATAATTTGGAATGTATAGTTGGCTTCACACAGAGAGAAGGAGTTTTTAATACCTACAATGATGGGAGTGACTTGACCACTGTATTTCTGCTTTCCTAAACATAGAATGAAGCTTGCTATAGATGAAAATTGAGAATTAAGGATCTATTATTTTGCTTGGGATGGCTTTCTGCTGACCACATTTTGAAAGACAGCCCCCTTTAGCCTATAGTACAATGGTCTTCAAACTTGACAGCTTTAAGACTTGTGGACTTCAACTCCCAGAATTCTTCCTCCAGTCATGTTAGCTCAGAAATTCTGGGAGTTGAAGTCCACAAGTCTTAAACTTGCCAAGTTTGAAGACCCTTGCTATAGTAGAACAAACATGGCCATTAGGTTTCTTACCTATAAAAAGCATTATGTCTGACATAGGTTCCTTTACTATTAGTTTTTGGGCATGTGTGTTCTTTAAAGGGTGAAGAACATGCTGCTGAAATCCAACTGTGTTCTGGAAGCTTTTGGCAATGCGAAAACTAACCGTAATGACAACTCCAGCCGCTTTGGAAAATATATGGATATCAATTTTGATTTCAAAGGAGACCCCATAGGTGGACATATCAATAATTACTTGCTGGAAAAGGTAACTAGGGTTTTCATGCTCCTCCACACATATCTTTCAGAAATTAGTAAAATTTACTATATTATAAGCATCTGGATTCATAATAGAAAACTGAAGTGAATTCTTGGGATAATGTTAAGTGTATGAGAAAGTTGGCTTTAACTTGCAAAACTTTCAGTAAATATATTTGTAACAGAGACCATAGTTTTAAATAGATGATCATGTGGTTGTAAGGAAATTTACTATTACATGTTTTGTGGCCTGATGGAAACCTCATTTAAAAATGGAATAGATGATAGGGCAGTTTTTAAGTGCTGTCTAGCTTTCAGTTTTGTGTCTATATGCAGAATTATTTTTTTAAAGCAACATCGTTTGTTTTCCTTAAACATTTATACAGAACATATACTGTATGTTTATCTCCCCTTTCCCCCCTCTCCTCACTCTGCTTTGCTACTCTGTCAGAATGATAATCTTGGAATAGGCACTAAAGCTTGGATGATTTAGAAGTTACTTTACAGGTATTCCCCTCACCTCCCAAATTTAAACCATGCAACAGTTTCTGTTTCAAAATGTTACTGTCAAAAAAGTTACTTACAACCCCTCCTTGAAATTACAATTGCATCATAACCCCCCCACCCCCACTTATGTGACCACATCTCCAGTATTTGACACTTGACTTGCATTTTGTTATTTATTTTTTTTACATTTTCCTGCAATAAATCTCTATCGGTTGAACGGGCTCATATTTACAACCAAATGTTTCACTTAACAGATTAAGATTAATGAAACCTTAACCAGTAGCATTATTGAAGTCCTGCTATTACTTATTGATCTGATTGATCCCAGAAGATATTCTACTCTCGGTCATACTGAATAAAGTGTCTGTCCCTCTGGATTATGGCAGCAGCCTCATAAGGCCTTCCATAGGCTAGTTGCCCTTTGGAGGGATCATCACCAGACTTCCACTGAAATTGGTCCATTGCAAATGGCTGCTATGCCACTATTGTATTGAAAGACCCTCATTATTTGTTTAATTTATGTAAAGGACTTATATGGCTTCCCATCTCTCACATGACTCTGGATGGCTAATAGCCATAGCACTTCAACAGATAAATAAAATATAACAATAACAACATTCATATTTTGTTACATTGCAATAACACAAATTGTGTAATTAGTTCCCATCCCCCTTCTGCCTCCCAATAATTTATTTAAATAGGGCAAGATTAGGTTTAAAAACAACCTGTTTTCAATATTCAACTTAATGCAAACTGTTTGCTTAGGATAGTACAGGTTAAAAAATAAATTAGCAAGCTTATTTTGGTAATGCTCTTTCCTTGTTCTTCTAGTCCCGGGTAATTGTGCAGCAGCTAGGAGAGAGAAACTTTCACTCCTTCTACCAGGTGAGTTGCAACTATGAAATTAGGCACATTATGGGTAATCACTTCTGAGTTCAGAGGAATGCACTCTACTCTTATTTGTAATGTTCTTCATTGTTTTATGCTATCAGTTTGCTACATCCTTCTTTCTTCCCTAGTTCATTCACAGTGCAAAGGACAAGTCTTTGTGTAGCCATTTTGCTTTAGAAGATAATTTATTCCATTCTGAGGCTCAAAGACTGGCTCTTTAGATTTCCTTTATCCAAATGTAATGTTGGTTGATGTTTTTATTTTCCTTGGAAGAGAAGATCATACTGGTTCTAGCCTGCAGATGGAAATAATTTCCATATACTTCATGGTTTTGCCTTCTGTGCCTGCTAGCAATTATAGTAACTGGATGCCTGTCTTGGATACCTCTGAAACAGCTAATAGTGCCTTAGGGTAGCCTTTTACAGAGGACAATGTCTGTTTCTTTTGGAAAGTAGGATTCTGTATACTGTACTTTTATGCCAGGCTACTATGTTGGTAAAGCATCACTGTTTATTGTTTTACTAGAGAAGTGTGAAGATTGTGCCACTGATTTTATTTATTTGAGAAATGTATATGATCACTTACATTATATAAAACAACCTAGATGGCTAGTAAACCCACAAATAATAAAAACACAAAATTAAGATTCCATGCCATTCTTCTTCTTCTTCTTCTTCTTCTTCTTCTTCTTCTTCTTCTTCTT